GCTCCTGAACTCCACCACAGGGATTAGATCTAAAGGGGGTAGTATGTCAAAGGGCACCTGCAGTTTCTCACCATGCTGTTCACAATAGCCAACATAGGAAATAACTTCCGTGCATAACGGAGGACGTGCCCTTAAATGGTGTTGCACAGGCTGGGGGTATAGCTCAGTTGGTAGACTTTATACATGCATGTAGCCCTGGATGTAATTCCCCAAACCACATAAGCTGTGTCTTGAAAAATGGGATTAAATTAGATTAAAAAGTGCTGTATATCTGTATATGTACAACGGAAGACTGTTACTTCTTTTTTTTTTTTTAACATAGGGTCTCCTGTAGACCAGGAGAGCTCTGAAATTCCTATGTAGTCACTGACGGCCTGGCTTCTGACTGTTGAGATTACATATGCGTAACAACACTCAAGCTACTGTTAGTTCTTAAAAATAACACCGGTGAGTCTGCAACACACTCGAGGGGTGGGATAAACTGGGCACAGAGACAAACACGAGTGGGGTGGAATCTGCTGGGCACAGAGAGACAAACTCCCCAGCCCATTTCTAAGATGCTTCCGGGACAAGTGTCCCGAGGCTCTGGGTAGAATGCCACATTTCTCACACAGCTTCTTTCTTGGCAGTTAACTGTTGAATTTTACAGTGTATTGGTTTCCCCATTTTTCACGTTTTCTGGACTATATCTAAATTTAATACAGAGGAGAGTGATGCTTAGCTTCCCTGTGGCCTATCCTCGTTTTCCATGATAAATGCGTGGATTTGCTGCAACTCCTAAGAATTATTAGAATTTCAGACATTGCTTCAGAGGTTTTTTTTTTTTTCCTCCTTCCTAACATTCTGCCTTCTCTTCCTTCTTATTGCAATCCTACACAATTTTGAAGTTCTATTGCTTGTAGAGATTTTACAAAATAATTTTTAATAAAAGCAGTATGCAGCATAGTTGCATAAATTGCCTCACAAATCTGAAATTCCTGAAGCTGTAACTCTGTCAACTAAAATAGTTTACCCTAAATCTCAGGATGCAAAATTATTTAAAGCAGACTTGGCTTCAACATAAACCTTTTTGTAAACAGCCTTAAGTAAGTGTGTGTTTTGGAAAACAGTGACAAAATGCTGTTCCCTCCTCCTTCGAAGAAAGGCTCTGGCTTTCTGGTTGTTCTGGTTGTTGTTGTTGTTCTTGTTTTATGCATATAATAATATATTACTACTCCCCAAAATTTTCAATATGGAGATATTAAAATTAATGAAGACCAAGACAACTATATACCTAGTATCTGTGAACTACATGTAAGCTGCAGTGTTTTGTTTAGTTTTGATTACAAAATTATCATGTGGGTTCTCACCTAGGACAGGAAAAGCATATGACTACAGTGATATTCCAGAAGCTAAGGTAGAAGGATTATGAGTTCAAGACCAGCGTAGGTGACATAGTAAGACCTCACTACAAAATTAAAAATAAGAAAGGCAGAAGGAGAGGTTGAGAAGATCGGGAGAGTGTCCTGTACTGCAAACAAAGAATGCTGGTCCCTTAGGTTAAGAGCCAGCAAAGTTAAAAAAAAGAAAAGAAAGAGAAGAACCATGAGACCATAGTGCTATGTTAAATAAGACAAGTGTGGAATGTACCACGTGGGCCTATGGCCTGTGTCTATGTGACATTTTATTGAGATACCACATTCAGCGTTTGTGTATTACCTATGGCTGCCTTCACACTTCAGGAAGGGCTGGGAATACAGCTCAATGTTTGTTGCGCATGCACTAGAACTCAGGTTCAGTTCCCAGTACTGATCAGAAAATAAGTTAAAGAGAGGAAAAATAAATTAAATTAAAGGGCTGGAGAGAGATCAGCAGGGGAGGTGGAACAGAGAGACAGGAGCCAAGTAATCGAGTAGGTGCAGCTGAGGCCCTAGGGCCCAAAAACCCCAGAATTTTGCTATCTGGTCACTTACAGAAAAATGTGACCTGTCCCTGTAGGCTTTAATTGAGTTTATGGGCTTCCTCAAAACAACAGCTGTCCTACAAAAAAAACAAAAAAAAAAAAAAAACATTTAGTGCCATTGCTATTATTTCCTTTAGGAACAGAGGAAAGTTTGTGTCCTCATCCTCAATCTGTCAGAGATCCTCATGGTTCTACTGAAAGTAACTGGAAGTACTGAGAAGAGAAGCTGTAAAAATGTCCTTATGAGGAGAGATTGTGTGCACAAATGTATGGTCGATGCTGTGTACTTGAACAAGACCTTCTTAGAGACATAGAGTCTCAGGGAAGGCAGATAGGTACCAGAGACCTGGACATGTGCTGATGGCTGAGGTGGTAGCCAAGGAAATGATCTGAACCCTGGAGCCAGAGAACTCAGGCAATGCCTGAGGCAAATGGCATGAGTGGCTGCTGTCGCCTCACAGATGAGTCCCACCTTGTCAGAGGCAGGGACCAACAGTCCACACAGCTGACAACCCCAGCTGTGTATTACGGCTACACAGACCTGAGAGAAAAAAAACAATTTCTAGAAGGAATGATCATCATCGCCTCTTTTGAAGGAGATGCAAGTCTAAGTCAAGTTGCCTTGCTTAGCCCCAACTTGATTTGGATTTGAGTGTCTTCTTATGGCGTCACACAGCCTCCCGGGAGCCCTCAAAGACAAACTTGCAGACAATGAAGCTCATGCTCACTTGATGTGCCTACATTCAGAGACACGACCTGAAAGGAGACTGCTAATGTTGGTTGAGGTCTTAAGGGCGGGTCCCGGGTGTGACAGGATTGGCGTCCTTCTAGGAAACAGCATAAGAGAGTTTACTCCTTGCCTCTTCCCATTACTCAAACTCACATAGAGGCGGCCCAGGAAGAAAGCCGACTGAGATTAAATGTGAACCATCCCCTACAGACTGCTGTGTTTGAATAACTAGTACACACCTAGTCGCTCCTGAAGGTTTGATGGAACATTTGTGGGTGGAGCCTTGCTGGAGGAAGTAGCTCACTGTGGGAGGGCTTTGAGGTTTTATAGCCAGATCCCACTTCCTGTTTACTCGGCTTCCTGCCTGTGGGTGTGATGGGACCAGAGCACTCTCTTTCTGCGGTGATTTCTCCACCACGGTCCTCTGTATCCCCTTATATTGTAAGCCAAACTGAACATTTCAACCTTCCTGTTGCTTCTTGTCAGGCACATTGGTCACAGTGATAAGAAAAGCTAATACAGGACCTTCATCCAATGTTAAACGTGTTGATCTTACACTCCTGACGCCTGCCCAGAGCAGTGGCTATTGTTCACACTAACAAGTCAGTAGTGTGTTGCTCCAAAAATCTAAGCAAGCTAAGATACATTAGTAAAATTCAATAAATGAAAGGAAAATTCTGGAAGAATCTAAGTGCAAAATACTATCAAAACTGTAAAGGACAAAGGGAGACATTTTTTATGATGGGTCCTAAATCATCTACCTAAGGCATACAGCTTTGAAGAAGGCCAGCAAATAAGTAGTGTGATTTGACAGCCTCCAAAGCAGACACCTTGCTGGAGGTGAGCAGTTGAAAACCGGTATTGCCTGCCATTCTATAAATCTTCTCAGCCAACTTTAATGAGCTGTTCTTCAGAAGGAAAAGCAACCTCAACACCCAGGAGCTGGCCTGGTACTGTCAGCTAGGCCTAGACATGCTCTCTCAGGCAACACTGCTCGGTAGAACACCAGCAATGGACAGGGCCCTCTGTGACTGTTGGATCAGGACCAAACCAAGATAACCCTGTAAGGCATGTCTGAGAACAGACAGAATACCCAGTGTCCTTTGCTGTCTGCTACAAATGACTGCTGCTGATATACCAATAAGCAGTATCTAGTCTGCCTTCCTATGGGCACGCACTTTCAGTAGCCAATGATAGAATCACCCTTCCTGACAGGATTGACCCGAAGTGAAACTCCCCTAATTCTCTCTCCACAAAATATCGACAGGGCACCAACCCAAAACCTAACCATCTTTTCTAATGTCCGTTGGCCAGGGCTTTTCCAACCTCCTTTGTAAGGAGTTATAATAACTCAATGTGTTCATCTGTGGGAGAAGGAAACAGACACCACATGCTCCAAGCCTTCGTTGGCTATCTGAACCTCAGTTGATAGCAAACCTCATGTATGCTATGTGTTTCCTCTACATGCGTACCTATGATGAAGTTTAACTTATCAACCAGGAATAAGTACCAAACTAATAAAATACTGCAACAATGAATACTGTAATGCTATAGTAAAATTGATGTGAGTGTGAATTATCAAAATATCTCATATAATATTAATATTTTCTCTTCTTCCAGACCATGGATGACCACGAGTAACTAAGCCACAGTAAAGGGGTCTATTTTATAGCTCTTCCCAGAGGACCATCTCTGGGTAACAGGCACCATGTTGGGCAGCTGAGTATTGTGGCCCCAGATGGCACTATCCCTATTTGCGTTGTCGCAAGAGAACTCCTTAGTAAACATCTTTAAGAACCAGCATAGCTTCAGATTTTAAAATGGACAACCCCGTTGCCAAGTATGGTCAAGATGTCCTTGTTTTGAAGTAATACTGAAACCATATTTCTCAAAGAAATTCATTCCACTTGGGATGTTAAAGAGCCATTGGGACCCTGAGTGAACAGTACCAAGTCTCTCTCATGTCTGTGTGCAGTGCACACTCTCCAATATTGTTCATTCACCAAAGAACACCATTTATAGTTATACTAATTTGTGATATACAGTTTGTTAGACTTCTGACAGAATTCTGCTAACTTGTAAACTCCCCTCTGAACTGTAAACTCCTGGTTAAGTTTATCTAAATCCAACCATTCCTAAAGGATTGTTTTACAATTAGGGGCTTCATATGCTACCTACCCATATGGCCCGTGTGGCTTAACATTGAAGTATATAGGCAGTTGGGGTATTGTTTACAACAGAGTAAAACATCACCAAACCTTCACTGCAAAGCCAACAAATCCAACATAACTTGTAGAAACAGCTTCATGAGTTCTGAGTTTCACATACCACAAAAACAGGGTCGTTGGCAGCTGAATGTGGCAAGGCATTTGTTCCGTTCAGGAAGGAGTGAGCCAAGTTATGAAGGTTCATGACTTGAGAGTCCAGGGTTCCATCTGCTTTGTCAAAGCCTTCCAACGCATTCCTGAGAAAAGCCAGAGTGTGGTGACTTCAGTAAAGATCGTCAAAAGTCTCAACACTACCCAGTCATCTCCTCCTCTAAGGCTGGATAAGGATAGGAGAGGCTCTGCCACTAACTGACTAAGGATTCTTTCAAGTCCATCTTTTGTTATAATCTTCTCCAAGGGGAAGGAACTCAATCAGTGCTGCTCCTCCACCTCCCACCACACCATACCCCCACTCCGGCACTTACTGGGTTACATTGTTCTCTTTTGTGCACAGTGTCCCCACCCCGCACTTACTGGGTTACATTGTTCTCTTTTGTGCACAGTGTCCCCACCCCGCACTTACTGGGTTACATTGTTCTCTTTTGTGCACAGTGTCCCCACCCTGCACTTGCTGGGTTACATTGTTCTCTTTTGTGCACAGTATAACTAGTTATCTTTATTCTTCTTATCTATACGCTTGAAAGACAAGGACTACGTTTCCCTCATAATGTTATTTCCGGGGCTTTTTTCTCTCTCCTTATACATGACCTGTGTCCAATAAATGAATTTTGAATCAACATAGATCCTTACATTCATATTTCTTAATGAAATAGACTATCTTCATGGCTGGAAGACACTTATTCTTCTAAACACACCCCAGCATTTTCCTTATTCTTCTCTTGATCCCTTCTCTAGCTCCAAGAAATTCTAAACATCTACACCCTGCCACAGTGATACTCGAAAGAAGATAACCTTGGAAGCATAGAAGAAAATGTTCATGACCTGGTTTTAGAGTTTCCTGCCCAAAGACAGGTGTGAGGAAAGGTGGGAACCACAGCTCTGAGGGGTAGCAGAGGAGACCATTGCCTACCGGAAGCTGAAGGTCGAGTTCTGGAAGAAGGGGGGACTGTCAAAGTTCTGGAGAGACAGGCAATCTTGCACGTTTTGTAAGGTTGGCAGTTTCTCATTATTTCTGCCTGCTTGGTTCCTCCTCAGCAAGCCTTCATAGGTTCCATTACACAGCGTAACCCGGCGGTTGTAGTCATCCAAGCTAAGAGTCATAAGATTAAAAACAATATGTCTTAACTTTGTGGATGGTATCACGAATTTGATCCAAATCCGTAAGAACCCTGGTCCTTAGTTACTTTACAAGGTCCAAACTAGGTGTTAAAAATGTCACCCTTAAAAATAATCATGGACAGAGACATTTCAAAAAACGTGGTTGCCCAAACAAGAATACAGGAGTAAATGTAATATTAATTATCATTCCATTCAAAAGACAGTGACAGGTTTACAAGCAAGGTGGTGACAACTGTAATTGTAATTGAGCTTGAAAAAATTAAAGGAGTGAAACAGTATCTTCTGTTACACAGCCAGGGAAAGCACTTAGGACAACTGGAGACTCGTAGGAAGCCAAAGAAACAGCTATAATTATACAAATAAAATGCAGTAATAAAATATTATGAAAGTCTTAAATACTTTGATTTGATTGTCCTGCATTGAATACATACATGCACACAGTTATCAATATTATACCCCATAATTTGTATAATAAAAATAATATTAGTTCCTATGCTTATTTACATGAGTGTATGTGCACATGTGTGTGGGGGTACAAAAACCTGAGGGTCACGTTTCCTTAGCTAGAAGCCAGCAAGAGCCAGCAAGCCTCTTCTGCTCCTTCTCCTTGGAGCTGGGCTTACAGACCTGCCTGGGATGCCCAGCTTACTCAGTGGGCGCTGGGACGAAATTCTAGTCTCAAGTACTCGGAACCACCAAGCCTTCTCTCTGTGCTGTGAGATAGTAATTATTAAAAGTGCAAAAATAAAAACCATATAAGGAACTGTGTGAAGACAGTCGTAGGCCACTGGCAGCCTGGAATCTCACCATCAGAGTAGCGATGCATTGATGGAGGTAGATCTTAAAGACAGTGCACGGGTTACAGAGTGTGAGGAAAGAGTGGGGAGTAGAAAAGGAGGAGAATGGCAAAGACAGAGGGTGCCAGGGAGGACCCCAACCTCAGCAACAAAGGCCTGCCAGGCATCAATTCCCAAAGTGTGTTCCAGTGAGATGGTCTGTGAAATAAGAGTCTCAGAGTCAGACATGTTTGGGTTCCCAGAGATGAACAGTAATGTATTTATCTTCATCTATGGCGGCTAGAAGATGTTCCAAATACTTTTGAAAAACACACTTTGAACTCAATATTCTTTAGACTTATATGAACACAGAAACTTCTTCTCACGTCATTTATGAATAGACAAAGGCACAGTACCAATGGTGCTCTGTGGAACTGAGTGAAGTAGAGCAACAGTATCTAGAACATCCTTCTAGCTGAGGCCTGACTGCAGGTTTAAGGGTGTGTGCAGAACACAGATGTTCCTGTGGCAAGCCCAGACCCCTCAGAATACACACTCTCCTCAAGGCAGGTAACACATATCCACCTCAGGGCAGGCCCCTCCCCACACACATCCACCTCAGAGTAGGTCCCTCCCCACACAAATCTACCTCAGGGCAGGCCCCTCCCATACACATCCACCCAGGGCAGGTCCCACACACACACATCCACCTCAGGGCAGGTCCCCCACACACACATCCACC